GCTGGCTGGATTGATTGTGGTCGAAAGTGATGATGCGACGGAGGACGACGGCGATAGATTTGGCAAATTTGGATTTTGCCCAGAGATCGACGAAGAAGAGATGGAAAGAGATTTTTTTGTTTTATTTATTTTAGTTTATTATTTAATGATGTAAAAATATTTTAAAAAAATAATTTTATTTTTTATTAATTTTTTGATTGCCATGTCAGATATTTAACGGTCAACTGTTAGGGTTGACTAACACATCAGATAAAGTTAACGGAGAGTGACTAAACGTGGATCATTTTACTAATTCAAGTGACCAAAATTGATATTAAATTTTTTAGTGACTAAACATAACAAGTTTTTGTAAACTCGGCGATCAAACTTGGCATTTACCCAAAAATTAACTAAGCTTATTAAACATTTGTGTAATGCAAATGACAAATTGCTTACATCTCAAAAAATTGGTTTAATAATAATATGAATTGAGAACATCCACCATACCTTAGTTATAACTTTGACGCGTTTATTATGTATATGAATTGAGAACATCCACCGAACCTTGCTTTTAACTTTTCGTCTTCTTAGTAAAATTTGAAGACATGCACTTGTGGAAGGTGTATACGCTGGCTGACCTTGCCATCTTGGTTTTGTATCTTCACAGTTTACACGGAATCCCAACTGATTATCCCGGTCATTGCACGGTGAGCTTTAATAATTCTAATCTAAGTTTACCAACAAATAAAAAATCTAATCTAATAATAATTTTATCGCTCTTATATAAAAAAATGCCATATGGGTTTAAGGATTCTAAGACGGAAAGAAAGAGAGAGACCTCATCGGTAACCATAGCAATATATTTATTGGCTACATGCTTCTAAACCTATTTTGAGGAAAAATACATAGCGGTGTTAAAATGACCAATGTCCTTAGTTTAGGTGGCTTTCTGTAATTGTCTCATTAAGTCCCTAGCTAAGTGTGATTAGGGTTATTAAACCCACAAGATTAGGGTTATTCACCGTACCTCTGCTGTACGGTGAAACTAAGGTGAATAACATTGACTCTGGAGAGTTCTAGCTCTCCTGTGGACTAGTCCTGATTAGCAGGGAAACCACGTAAATCTTGTGTTTGTGCTATTTCGATTCTCAATTCTTATCATGGTATCAGAGCCTATTGTCTAAGTTCTTTGAGTTGCTTGCGTTTTCGGCTGCTTGTGTATTTCGGTTCTCGGCTGCTCGTGGACTCTCACGGTTATTAGGGTTGCTACCCTATCTTTGGTTGCTCGTTAGTGTTCTGGCTGGTAGTCTTGTTTCTTGTCAGCAGCTTGGGTCTCTTGCTTGGGTATTGGTTGCTTTATTGGAAGGGCACCCTTTCTTTGTGTGGTGTTGTGGTTGTGCTCGTTAATTTTTGGGGTGTGGTGATCATGGCGGCTTTGAATGGGGATGTTGTTTTGGCGCGGTTTGACGGGAAGAAGTTCCCATTATGAGAGTTTCAATTCCGTACTTTTGTTCAAGGTAAGCGGCTTCTACCTCTTGTTACGGGCAAGAAGAAGAAGCCCGGGGAGGAGGATGAGAAGGCGTTGGCTGATTGGGAAGCAGAAAATGTTCAAGTAATCACGTGGCTTCTTGGTGCGGTGGATGTGCCCACAGGTCTCAGCTTGCGTCGTTTTGAGCAGGCCAGTGATATGTGGAATCATCTTCTCACTACGAACTGTCAGGCAAGTGCTTCACATCAGTTCGATCTGGAATTAGAGCTTGCACAGTTATCTCAGGGTGATCGCGATGTTCGATCCTATTATCAGGCTCCTATGCATCTTTGGACAGAGCATGATCTCTTGTATGCCTCGCTGTCCGCTGCACCAGCTACTGCTCATAGCATTGCAGAGCGAACTCGCTCCCGCACCATTACTTTTTTGATGAAACTGCGTCTTGAATTTGAGCCTGATCGTGCCTCTATCCTTCACCGTAATGTCACCGACTTGGATGCCATCCTAGGGGAGCTATATCAAGAGGAGCTCCGCTTAAAGAGTCAAGCACAGGTTGATTTACAGCACCATGGGGCGGTTGATAATGTTGCTGCATTTGCTACCTCTTCTCGGCCTCAATTTGCCTCGACTCTGAATGGCAAGGTCCATCTTCAGCTCGTATATGTCATTATTGCCGGGAACCGGGACATATTCAGCCCTTTTGCAAGAAAAGGAACTGGTGCAACTTCTGCAAACAGCCGAGTCACATCTTGATTGAATGTCGGCAGCGGGGGAAGCGTGCTCCGTCTCGTCAGCAGGGTCTGTATCGTCAGCAGGGTCCTCCACCTCCCGCAACGTTTGCTGCCTCTCCGCTGGGCACGTCAACCCCACAGCCTGCTGCTGCTTCTCCCCATGGCGCAAGGAGTGACCAAAACTAAATTAACCCAGCTCATTCATGCTGCATTACAGGAGGTTATGGGTGCTGCATTTGCTACCGGGAATAGCTCAGGTAACTCTTCTCGTTGGCTTCTCGATTCCGCGGCATTCAATCACATGAGTAGTCGTCTTTGTTCTTTCAGCTCTCTTCAGCCTATACGTCATAAGTTACAGGTTACGAATGGGGATGTTTTACCGGTTACCGGACTCGACAACATTTCTGAACCTCGTATGCAGCTCCCAAATACTCTACACGTTCCTTGTTTGGTCCCTAACTTGGTCTTTGTCGGCTAACTAGCTGATGATGGACATGAGATTCGATTTAATGCTCATGGTTGTGTGGTGCAGGACTCGACGACGGGGAAGGAAGTCGGGAGGGGCCATAAAGAGGGACAGTTGTATGTCCTTGATTCCTTGCATGGTGACTTGCAACAAGTGGCGGGTGAGCTGGGAAGTACAAGGTCCAAGGGTGGAAGTGCAAGGTCCAAGGATGTAGCTCCTGTTTCTCAAGTTTCATGTCTGCAGTCTTTCGTTTCTGGATTTTCAGTTAGTAATAAAGTGCATAATGATGTACGAGATTCAGTTTGGGATTTGTGGCACTGTCGTTTGGGGCATCCACATACATCTCGGTTATTGCAAATGTTTAATCATCAATTGTTACCAGTGAAATTTCGGACTACTTCCTTTTCTCCTCCAACGTGTTTGAGCTGTATTGAGGCTAAGGCTTCCCAGATTTCTTTCTCGTCCAGTACGACAGTTTATTCAGCTTCGTTTGATCTGATTCACACCGATCTCTGGGGGCCAACGCCGATTCCCTCTCGTAATGGGTTTCTATACTTTGCGTTATTTATCGATCACTACAGTCGCTTCATATGGATTTATTTTCTGAAGAATAAATCTAAACTAAGGACTCATGCTTAGGACTTTGTGTGCATGGTATAGACTCAATTTCAGAAGACAGTTAAGATCATTCGATGTGACCCAGCGGGCGAGTTTAATTCAAACCCTCTCCTTCAGTTTTATCAGGGTTCTGGGATTATTTCTCAGCAGCCGTGTCCTGGCGTATCTCAGCAGAATGGCGTCGTGAAGCGCAAAAACCGCCATGTTCTTGAGCTTACTAGAGCTATCTTGTTTCGCTCAGGAGTTCCCGCCCGATTTTGGGTAGAAGCGGCACACACAGTGGTCCATCCTAATTATGGTCGCCTGCGGGTGTTCGACTATCTGTGCTTTGTTCTTCTTCCACGAAAGGAACGCCACAAGCTGGCTCCAAAAACAGTGAGGTGTGTTTTCTTGGGCTACAGTGATGGGTTCAAAGGGTACATGTGCTACGATCCGACCAGTCATCGTCTCTGTGTTGCTTGTCATGTTCTTTTTATGAGCATATGTCGTACTTTCCAGCCAACACCAGTCGACGCGGGAGGAGTTTGAACGAAGCTTGGCCTTCCTCTGTCCATTTCCTTTATCTCCTGTCGGGTCTCAGGGATGGGTTGGGAGTGAATTAACATCGTCAGTGGCGGACCCAGGATTGTCGGAGAGGTGTGTCGCCGATAAAATAAAATAATAATTAAATTAAATTAAAAATTAAGTTAAAATCAAAAGAAATTAATCCATAAAGTTCACAATGTCATGTTTACAACGAACCACGACGACTTTTCATCTGTTGAAATGTCTCTAAAATACATTCATCACTTATGCTGCAAAGCAAATCTTTTTCAATATACACAACTAAACAATCATTCATAAATTGGTCACTCAACCGATTTCGAAGATCGTTCTTGATTATCTTCATAGCTGAAAATGCTCTTTCGCAGCTTGCAGTTGCCACAGGTAAGGTCAACACCAACTTTAACAGCAAGTAAACTAAAGGATAAAGAGTGTCCTTTCCCCTTTCCACCAATTTCCTAGCTAGCTCGTCGATTCCTCGCAATCCATCAAAGCTCTTATCCTCCTTGACATGAGAAATGTAGCCCCCCAATTGTTGATGAAGTCGTGAGAGCACATTGGATGGAAACTCCTCGGGATAAAACTCAGTAAGACTCATCAACTTTGCTCTATCAAAAGAAGCAAAAGAGTTTGCTGGACTAAAACAAGAAATGCAGTCCAACAATCGAGTGTTCACCTCACCAAATCGAGCATTCAATTCTTGCAGCTGCAAATCTATAACTGCATAGAATAAATCGACTTGATAGTAATGCATAGAACAAATCTATAATGGCATTGGGTCATTAATTGGGGATGGGGAGGGAAGGAATAATAATGGGGAGGTAGTGGGCTAGTGGCCGACTAGGCTTTTGGCCTGTGGGTTCTTTTCTCGTTTAATTAAAGGCTCAGACCCAACACTCATCAAACATGTATATTGTATGGGTAAGAGTGTTTTTTTTTAATAGGAAGGATAAGGTTATGCTTTATGAGTTATTTTAAACAAAATTAAAAAGGATTATGATTAAGATTGATTCATTTGGATAATAATTTCTTCGACTATAATGAAGGTGTGTCGGCTATAATTATTGAGGGTGTGTCGGCTATCCCGAAGTAAAAAATTTTGTACCAAAAAATATGTAGATCCTTCGTAAAATTCTCGAGCGAGGGTGTGTCGGACGACACACCCTGCAATGCCTTAGGTCCGCCGCTGAACATCGTCGTCATCTTCCACCGGTGGTGGCTCCTCCGGCCCGAATTTCGACGGTAGAAGCTCCGGGTCGCACTCCTCAGGCAGCAGCTCTGGGCCGTCCTCTTCGGGTTCAAGTCCCTCGTCACCTAGTCCATCCTCCGCTACCAACTCTACTTCAGCCTCCTCTCCCTCAAGTTCATTGGCATCTTCTGCTAGGTCTACTGAGAATAATGACCAGGAGCTAGGTGCAAAAGTGGGCATGGGTGATGCTTTGCAGCTTTGCCGATTTACTCTCATTACAAAGGGGAAGCCTCCAACACGACTTAAGGACTACGTGGGGTATTCAGCTGATTCTATATTTATTCCAGCAAACTATCGCCAATCACGAGGTATTCCGGAGTGGGATGCGGCCATAGAGGAAGAAACTGAAGCCCTTGAAGCTAATCAAACTTGGGACTTAGTCCGTCGTACTCCGGAAATGTCCATTGTTGGCTGTAAATGGGTGTATGATGTGAAAGTAAGACCAGCTGGTGACATCGAGAGATTCAAAGCACGGTTGGTGGCACAGGGATGTAGTCAAGAGTATGGCATAGATTACGAGAAAAAGTTAGTTCCGGTTGCCAAAATCCAGACTGTGCGATGTGTCCTAGTTACCCTGCTGCTGCTTGCTTGCGTATATATATATACATATATATGCTTTTAAGAGGTATATGGTTAGCCTGCAGTTACCCTGTCGTATTATAATTGATCTGCGATATAGGATTTGACTATGCTGCTTTATCTTCCTTTGTTTTGAGGATTTGTTTTGTTTCATACTACTACATGCACACACAGTTTGAAATCATGGTGGGGTGAAATGGTTGCAACAGACTTTCAGTTGGAGAAGGGATTGAAGCGTCTTCAAGATGTACAAGTTCGTTTTTAGTCATTTAGCTCGTTTGTGGGAATCATATGCATCCGTTTTATTAATTTACTCGATCTGATAAAACTATACACATGTATGCTACTGCTGCAATGGTACAGGTGAGGCTAGTAGAAGCAGAGTTGCCTGTCTCATCTACATCTTGGGAAGAAGATAGTAAAGTAAAAGTGAACTAGTAAGTCCTTTCTTTTCTGGATAACTAAGTTTTGCTTGCTTCTGGTATTAGAATAAATGTAAGTGGAACACTAGAAACTTTAAGGACCTAATCCTATGGTTGTTAAGTTTATTTGAACAGAGTGACTTCATTGCTGATCATATGGTCAATTTGTTTGGCGCTAAGTCTGTTTATATATATTCTACCAACCAAAAGCTAGCCATTTTGCTTCCTCTTTATGTATACCTATATACATATATTGCACGCTGATGTCTCGTTCTCTATATGTAATCCATAGTTTTCACTGTAACTAAGTTCTCTTTTCTTCTATTTGTGATGTTCCAAGTAATGAATACCAATTTTGTGTACTACATTAGGCATTATACTTTGGTAACTAAATGATTTGAATGGGGTGTTTCTGCAGAGCTGCTGGTTAATGAAGGAAGTTTATATCCAGTCTCCACAGTGCTGGAGTTTTGTCTTTGGTGGTATTATAAGGAGCAAAGAGGGACTGTAAGTGGGAGTTTTGAACTTTGTAAGTGGTTTGAATGACAGTAGTAAACTTTAGATTGTAGGTTTTGAACTTTTGTAAGTGGTTTGATTGGATTTGGTTGTTCCAGAATTGAAGGGTTGATGTTTTATGTTTCTGATATGGTAATTCAAAGTAGGTGGATTTATGATCATCAAAGTATCTGTATATTGTTGATTTGGCATTTCAGAAAATCACAGCAAGCTTCCTATGAAAAAAAAAATTAAATCACAACAGGCTAGGGCAGAGCAGGCCACTCTTTAAAACAAGTGTTTTGGCGACAGTCGCTGGATTTTAGCGACGGTCAGTGTCTGTCACTAAGTAGTTTAATTTTTTTGTTATGAAATTTAATTAACGACAGTCGTATGGAAGATTGCGTCGGTCAGAGCCGTCGCTAAATTTTCCCGACGGCGAACGTGACGGTCGACCAAAACCGTCACTAAATATTTTAAGGATTGCTGGGTCAGCGACGGTTTGGTGTCCATCATTAAATATTTTAGCGACGATTTTGACCGTCGCTAAAAGTCCGTACGACCGTCGCTAAATAACAGTTTTGTTGTAGTGTGAGATGAAGTTTTTTCTCTAAATGGCAGTGGATACCTGTTTCAAACGGGACGAGTACCCAGTCCCGTCCCATTTTCCACCCCTAATTTTACGGCCTAGAGAAACAGACCCACGTTTATGAATTCTAATGGGTCAAACAAAATCCGATTGAGCTGAAATTTGAGAAGTAGTCCAATAAGCGCAAGATGAACCATTCCATCCAACATGAACCCATTTGGTTAAGAAAACCCATGACTGTGACATGATGGTCCAACCGCAATTCATTAGAGAGGTTGTTTGTGGCCAAGCAACCCAAATATGTAAAAAAAATTAGGGCGGGTCCGACGTTAGCCAAAGGCCCACGAAATCTTCTGGAAACTTCTTTCTTCAACACCAAATCAAGAAATTCGAGTTCAAGTCACGAAAGGACACTTGATCAAGTTTATGGGGAAACCCTTAAAACCCCCCACTTAGTACTATAAGTAGAGGCTTAGCCTAGAGCTCTAGGTAAGTCTGAAGAACTTCACACTTTTACACACAAAATAGGGAGATTGAAAGTTCAAGCCATCAAGTTTTGATCTTGTTAGTTTCCATTGGGGGAGAAGAAATTTTGCAAGAGTTCGGTGAAGGAGACGCCTTCATCGTTGACTATTAGTCCATGTAAATGACACGACACATAGTAGAAATAAACGCAACAGCTATCAATCAGCTCATATGTTGTTAGGATCATAGTTTCGAGTCAAAGGAACTTTAGGGGGAGCTTACCCATGCAAATGCAACGCCTCGCCCTCCTATTTCCTTCACCAAATAGTAGAGTAGATTGGCTTTCTCGCATTGCTTTTCTATTTTGTTTTGTAAACCCAAGGGGAACTTCAACTCACGTGGAACCTCAACCTCCACAATTGATTTAAAAATTCAATAGAACTCGTCTCTCACCACCCGAGTAAGTGGTGGTGAAAGACCCTAGGGAATACAATATTGGTCTTTGGTCCATGTAAATCTGCATCGACATTACAACGTGATCATTAATCATGTTAACCAATATGACATTATCATCAGCATTACATGTAAAAAAAAAATATTCTTGCTAATGCATTAATCCATAATGTATATTGAATAAAACACAACAATCAATTCATAATTTTAATCCTTAACATAAATACATGCAACTAATATAATTATCTTACAATCATTAAAGTAGTAAGCTAACAATTATAGGGGTAATGAATTGTGTGTGTCTGTATAGATCATCTTAGTAACTTAGCAGTTATCAGAAATTGAAAAATTATTTCTTCAATTTTCTGTGGAAAATTTGTTAAATTTCGAGTTAAAACAAAGGAAAAATTATCCAATTAAGAAAAATAGTAAATCAGAGGAAAGTAAACTTTGACTAGCCAAAAACGCTTCCCTCTCGCCTTTGGGATTCTTGACAGGATGTTAGCAACACAAAAAGCATGGAAGGAAAATTACCAATTACCAAGGCATTCTCTTTATATCCCTTTCTCATCACTTTGCATTTTGGATTGTTATAGAGGGCTAAGATCAGATGATTAAGGGGTCCCTTAGTCACATGACTAAGTGAATCTCCACCCTTGCATCTCATTAAAATCCAATGGCCCAAATTAATCTCATTTAATGAAGGACAAGATAGTAATTAAATAGATTATTTATTTAACCATTAAAATAAAAAAAGTGGGCTGAACTGTCTCCCATGCTCTGCGGGCCGCCTGTTGCCCGAGACCTGCTGCCGACCGAGTGACGGACTGAGAAATTTTCCGATGCGTGGCATTTCCCTCCCTCCTGTCACGACCCGAAATGTCGTGACCGTGTTGATCGTCTGAAGAACGCTGCCATCTGGTTGTCTTGCCATGAGAAGGGTAAAGGGGGCGACATTAGCGATAAGGCGTTGTCTGCCTATGCATCGCATCTGGCCGAGTCAGGATGTGGCTATGAAAGGGGTCGTTGTAAGAGAAGGCACAACTGGTTGGAGGCTATTGCCGTCTCCCTGATGAGCCCACGGCAGGGCGAAACCAGTTGGCATGCGTTTACAGAGAGGCTGGTCGTGAGGAATGAGTGCACCTCAAGACGCCGCATGGACTTCGGAAGTCTATGTCCGTGACAAGTGGTATCAGAGGCTGGTTAGGCTGAAGAGCCTAGTTCCTCTCTCAGTACGACATAGGTCGTGTATGGGCCGACTCTATGCCCGAATGAGAGGTGGTCCTAGGTGTGCATATCAGGCGGTCCGGACGCAGATACACATGTGTTGCGCCGTTGTGGGGGACCTCGACAGGTTGGAGATGCAGCGGCCGAGAATGCCGTTCAACCGAGGAACTAACGCTAGCGAGAGCGTAGGGTGAAGGTCGATTGAGGTAAAAACGCTGGGAGTCGCGTAGGGTGAAGGTCGACTGAGGTACTAGCGCAGCAGAAGCAAATAGTGAAGGTTGATGTCGAGGGGCGAAGCGGTATGTGCGCAGGGCACAGCAGGCTAGCGCGAGGACGCGACTGGAGCCTGTCCATCAAAGGATGGTATCGTGTGCGGATGCCCACAATCGGTTCGAGAGAGTTGCAATACATGCTGCGGAGAGAAGCATTCTTCACCAGCACGAGGACGTGCTGCATTATGATTGGTGGAGAATGTCACGACCCGAAATGTCGTGACCGTGTTGATCGTCTGAAGAACGCTGTCATCTGGTTGTCTTACCATGAGAAGGGTAAAGGGGGCGACATTAGCGATAAGGCGTTGTCTGCCTGTGCATCGCATCTGGCCGAGTCAGGATGTGGCTATGAAAGGGGTCGTTGTAAGAGAAGGCACAACTGGTCGGAGGTTATTGTCGTCTCCCTGATGAGCCCAAGGCAGGGCGAAACGAGTTGGCATGCGTTTGCAGAGAGGCTAGTCTTGAGGAATGAGTGCACCTCAAGATGCCTCACGGACTTCGGAAGTCTATGTCCGTGACACTCCCCGGCGGTGAGAGAATTTTTGCCGGCAATCGTAGATGATTTCCCGGCAATGGGAGATTTTCAGGGACGAAAAAACTAAGGGGCCGTCTCTTTGGGTAATTTTGGCGTTCCATTCTCCATTTGCCATTTTCCCCATATAGTGTGGCAGCGTGGGAATATATTTCCCCAGAGAGAGTTTAGTTTGTATTGTTTATTATTCTAGTTTAATTTGTCATTTTTATCTATTACGTTCGTAATGTTTATAAGACTAATTTGTATATATTGTAATTTGTAGTGTTTGTTTATCTATTTTGTATACTTTGTATTTATTGGTTTGTAATACCAGTTTATCAGTTTGTATTATAAGTAGTGGTATTTTGTATGTTTGTCGGTTTCTTTTGTAATGTTTGTAAGCTTTGTGATTTTTGTAATGTTTGTTGGCTTCATTTGTAATGTTTGTAAGCTTTGTTATTTTTGTCCACCATGTTTGTCATTTTTTGTCAACCATGTTTGTAATATTTGTATAATCCTAATTTGTATGCTTTGTATTATTGGTTTTTATTGTAAGTAATTGTAATTTGTACAGTTAGTATGTTTTGTATACAATGTTAGTATTATTTGTATACTTTTATAATGAGATTTCTATACTTTGTAATATTAATTTGTATACTTTTATGATGTGGTCTATATACTTTGTAATATTTAATAGTGATATTTTATGTTCTTAGTTATCTTTTTATATAATCTTAACTTGATTTCTATACTTATATAATGTGGTTCTAATACTTTTTAATATAGCTTTCAATGTAGTTAAAAGCTATAGTTTAAGCCTAAAAGCTTACGCTTTTAAGTTCTTACCTCCTCCAATATAGTAATTTTCTTTGAAAAATCTTTTGACACCATAAGCTTAATATAAACTCTTTAAAACCACAATATGTGCATAAAAAATCCTTAAAAGCTAGCTTTTAGGACGCTTATAAGAGCTTTTAATGATAATGTTTATGGAGCGATTTGGCACGTCGTGCGATGGTCAAATGGTTTTTTGTGGATGAAAAAACTAAAGTGATCATGCCGCTGGCTTCAAAATGATTCTTTTAACATGAATGATGATTGATGTATTTATGAGGAGCATGATGTTAGTGACAATAACAACTATGATGATGGCGGTAATTAAGATGATATGATTTGGATGGAAATGTGGACGTTGCTGCCCAAATGTAGCATAAATCATGATCAATTTTTTTGGGGGGCTTGTGATGTCCATAATATGAATATTTCAGAGTTATGATTCATATTAGCGTACGATTCAACTCTTTTTCTATGTTTATGAACTTGTTCTGAGTTAGAATGTACTCTAGTTCAAAATCTTTTCCAATTTTCTGTGTGTGGATCCTATTAGTCTTTTAGGTTGCTTTTTTACAATTTCAATGGTTCATATAAACTTACGTTCTTACGCTCCGCTTTTACGCTTAAGTTTGTACCCATCATTTCGCTTATACATAAAAACTATAGTTTAACTACATTGATAGCTTTGTATACTTTTATCGTATAGTTTGTATACTTTATATTATTGATTTGTAAAAGAATTCACATCAATTTGTATGGTAAGTAGTTGTATTTTGTATACATGGTAGTATTAGTTTGTACATATTTATGATATGATTTGTACACTTTTAGATTCTGATTTGTATATCACATGATTTTTTCATTTTCATTATAATATTTGTATATGATGTATTTTTACTTGCATATTTTTCTGATATGGATTGTATATTTTTTTATGTTACTTCGTGTTTTTTATTTTTAAAATAGAAAAGGTTGATAGAAAAAAGACAAAGAAAACGCACGTGAGTGAGTGGGAGGTTTAAAAATAACTTTATTAGTGATTAATAAAGAAAGAGGCAGCATACTTACCGGGGAAAAAAGAGCCAGTATATAAAAATAAAGAGACGTGTGCGACTTGGACAGTGGGCAGCAAACGGAAATAAAACAAAAATAATCAATTTTTTTATAATACCATAACTACCCTTTTCATTAATTAAATATCCCTTCCCACCTTATAGCCATTAGATTAATATATCTAGATCCTAGGGCTAGGAGGGACTTAATCACTTGTCTAAGGACCCCCCCCCCCTAGTCACTGGATCCGCACTCATGTTATAGATTGATTAAGATGGGGTTTATACGCTCGACATTTCCCAATATAATAATAGTCTGCGGGAACTTCTTGCTTTACTTTTGAAAAAAAATGGAAATGATTTCTTACAAGTGTTTTTACAATAATATTCTTGGTATTAATAATTTCAAATCCAAAAGTAGTAAGGGATTTCTTGTAAATGTGAATCAAAATTAATGTGGGGTCCACTAATTCCATCACTCCCTTCACCAATTCCGACCACTTTTGGTAGAATTTAGAATTTCCAACTTTTTACCTTTTGGAATTCCATTTCCTTTTTACTTTTTACTTCCAAAGATGATAATCATGAAAAGTTTGAGAATTGGAATTTCATTTCCTTAAAATTTAGGCTTTTCCAACAGGCTGTTACTTTTAGTCTAGTTATCCCATCACCACAGGAAAAAGGGTCATTTGATCAAGGGATATCCCATATCCCGTGTTTGAAAGTGCTTTTCTCGTATTTAATAGTCTTAGTCACGGGAAAATTACCATAATATATACCTTCGTGTCTAATTGTAAAGGTCACGAAAAATTTGTACCATAACTAGTTATAATTAATTACGATATACTTTCCCATGATAACTTGTACCTAATTAATTCCAAATTTTGGAAAAAACCTAACAATAGTTTTAATTTAGAGACGGTATTCACATCTTTTAACACGGTATTTAGCATGAAAAATAATTTCCCAGAACTAGATGCAAATCATTAATGACGGTATTAATTTCCTGTAACTAAATGTCAACCATTAATCAAAATATTTATTTAGTTCTCCCTTCTCTAAATACCAACTATTGGTCACAATATTTTAAACCTAGTTTTTTCTTATCCACGCTCGACGTTAGAACTTGCTCACAAATGAAAATGAACATATGAAGAGAAAGGGCATGTCGCCGTCTTGGCCCTCGCCATCGTGGCGGCCCTGTTCTCGCTGGTGGTATACGGCGTCTTGCCCAGCTCCTCGCCGGCAACTGCCTCACGGGGATCAGCATCGCGTGATGGAAGTGGACGCACAACGCCCACCATCTGGCGGTGAACAGCCTCGATTACGATCCAGATCTGCAGCATATTCCGGTGTTCGCCGTCTCGACCCGCTTATTCAAATCGATCTGATCCGTCTTCTACGGCAGAAACCTAGATTTCGATCCCGTGGCGAGGTTCCTCGTCAACTACCAGCACTGGACGTTCTACCCGGTAATGTGCGTCGCCAGGGTGAATCTCTACCTCCAGACCTTCATCCTCTTATTTTCCCCCAAACGAATTGTCCCCGACAGGGCGCTGAACATAGCCGGGATTTTGGTTTTCTGGACCTGGTTCCCTCTTTTGGTTGCTTGCTTGCCGAATTGGCCCGAGAGGTTCGTGTTCGTGCTGACTTCCTTCGCGGTGACATCGATCCAGCATGTTCAGCTTTGTCTCAAACATTTCCCGGCGAATGTGTACATGGGTCCGCCGAGGGCCAACAATTGGTTCGAGAAGCAGACGAGGGGGGCGCTCGACATCTCGTGCCCGTCGTGGATGGATTGGTTTAACGGCGGGTTGCAGTTCCAGCTGGAGCACCATCTGTTCCCCAGGCTGTCGAGGTGCCAGCTGAGGAAAGTTTCGCAGCTGGTTCAAGATCTGTGCAAGAAGCACAACCTACTGTATCAGAGCTACTCTTTCGTTGAGGCGAACGTGTGGACGATTAAGACGTTGAGGGCGGTGGCGGTGCAGGCGAGGGACCTGGCCAATCCTGTGCCCAAGAACATGGTGTGGGAAGCTGTTCATACTCACGGTTGAGGGGGATTTTTGTTTGTTTGTTGACGAATTGCCATCGCTATCGAGGGGGAAGTTTTTTGAAAATTTTGCTTCCTCTTTTTTGATTATAATAATTTTTTTTATTTTACTTTATTGTGAAAATGAGTTGGAAATGGTAGAAGATTAAATATATTTTATTTATTATTTTTTAATTACCACGTCACCGAGTTAACGGTCAACTTTGAGGGTTGACTGCCACATCAGACAAATTTAAAGGAGTTGGACGGAGAGTGACCAAATTTGAACCATTTAACTAATTTGAGTGACCAAGGTTGGATTTAAATATTTCCAGTGACCAAACATGAACGTTTTTTATAATCTCAGTGACCAACCATACAATTAACCCCATATTATAAAGTCTTTCTAACCAACAAGCTCACAGTTTCTTCAAAACGAAAGTAAAGAAACAAAAGAGGAATGTGCTGGATTATATTCAACCCAACTACTCGAGTTCCAATTATAGCTACAAGCACATCAAGGAATGCCTTTACAGATCATTCTTCAGGTTGTCTCAAGAGATTGCTTTGCTGATATGTTATTCATCTTGGCATAGCGGCATTCCTCCCAACTCCTTGTTATTGTATACTATATCAGTCTAAGTCTCTTCCCCAAGAATTTCCTGCTCTTGAACTAACACAGCAGCAAAAACACAAAAAGAAGAAAATAAGATGTATAATTTCCACTGCAATATACGATCAAACTCCTAGACAGAATATAGTTTTCAAACAAAGGTTACCATTACATATTCATGGTTACAGCATCTCAAAACAATAGCATATTCCAAAATCTAAACCCACAAAACAAAGAAACAGAGCAAATAACAGCAGTAGTAGCAGGCAGCAGCAGACCAACCTCAACCACACAAAACAGAAAAAACAGAGCAAATAGCAGAAGCAGTAGCAGGCAGCAGCAGACCAACCCCATTACGTGATTTGGATTAAGAACCATACATGACATATTATGCTACCCCAGGTCATATCAACATATAGAGCCGAAGCTGCATATTTGACCAAACAATTGACAGGTAATTCTACAGTTAAAGAAATGACTTTGATGCTATACAATAGACTTTTCCTTGTTTCATAGTGCAAAGAATGAAGCAGAATCACCTTAGTAATAACGCATACATAAGAATCTTCATAGCTGCATTAAAAAAAAAAGAATCTTTATAGTTGGGTTCTCTTTTACCATACAATGACATAAGCAGTTGAAACTATGTGCCTTAAGTTAAGCAACTGCAAGAGCTATTCAAAGCAAAAGTTTTTCACCGAACCGGAAACTTCAAGGGAAAGCATTTGTCCTTGGGTTAAGCTATACTAAAAGTGTTCGTTTACTAAAAACATGTATCTTCATCATGGATAGTTTGAACCCTTGGATTAGGTTGCTCATATACTAACTAAGAAAGAAACAAGATCAACGAGTCAGGAAAATCACACAAACTAGAGCCTCCGCATAGGACAAACCCTTCAATGAGTCAGGCAGATTAGGTTGCTCATAGAACCTCCCATATTAAACTGCATTCAAGGAGACCCATGGCTGCTGGGAATGTAAGACAAAATCAGGACAACTACCAACAACAAACAAATTTGAGGAGCGACAAACATAGATAAGTTTTACTAAGCAACCAGACTTGAGTAGCAGCTGAACGCAGTAGTAGGCAGCAACAGACCACCCCCCCCCCCCCCCCCCCCCCCCCCCCCCCATAACGCGATTTCGACCAGGGTTCCTCAGTTGCTTTCAGGGACCATACTAGTTGCTTCATTTTAACCAATTCACTGCACCATTGGAAGCTTATACAAGTCCCTCATTGACAATTTAGCTTTAATAAGAAAAAACAAATAAAATCTAAAGACCACTGAAAATTGTGACAAAATCCAGAAAATGATAGATAACAATAGTAGCACCATTGGAAGCCTATGCATCAATCATACCAGTGCAACCAACAACAAAAGGCATTTTATCCAAATCAAGTAGGAGCCTCACTTTAAGAGGAGTGTACCAAAATTGATGATAAATGTGTGTTTTCAAACTCACTCTAAGTCTAAATAGATCTAGCAAGCACTAGGTCTGCACCAATCTGTGTAGGAAAACAGCTGCCAAGCCCCTCTAGTTTTGTTGGATTGCAAGAGCTCAAACAAAGAGAGAAAGGAAAGAGAATCAACGACATACCTTCAATTGCAGGCGATAAGTATAACAGGGAAATAGTCGATGAAGAGATGAGAAGATGAAAGGTCCTCTCAGTGGCCGAAAAAGTTAGTCTCCTAACAGGCCATTTTGTTAGGAGATACTGATAGGGTCTGACTTTGGGCCACGTGTGCTTGGGCTTCATCCAACGGAGGAGAGTGGTGGCTCACTTAAATGAGCTGGAGATGGGCTTCCGTGTAGAAGCCGGCCCAGCGTGCGGCGCAGAAGGCGAGCCGAGTTCGTGGCGTGGTGGGCCCGGCCTCAGTTTGGGCGGGATTTTGGGTTGGAGTGGAAAGCGTGGTGGGCCCGGCTTCAGTTTGGGCGGGATTTTGGGTTGGAGTGGAAAGAGAATGAAATTTTTGGGCCCCATGTGATATATATGTATGTTTGTTTGGATATTTATTTGTTTTCAGTGGATGTTATTATGTGTTGTGTTGATATTACTTTGAATCATTGTGTTGGATATTTATTTGTTTTCAGTAGCCATCATTAAATTAATATTTACCAAACCCCAAAATAACCCAACCACCCGAAACTGATTACACCAATTTAGAGTTTAAGTTTTAGGGTTTATGGTTTGGTTTTCAATTTGTGAAGGATTGGAATATTGTTTCTTACATCAAATTAAACACACTAGGAAATTAAACCCACTAGGAAGTCCTAACACGTAAGGCTTGCAACCTTAGTTAGGGCTGCCCGCCGAGGGCCCATGGGCCGAAGGCCCATTAAATAATAATAGTTTATGGTTTATGGTTTGTGTTATGGTTTAGGGTTAAGGGTTTAGGGTCTAGCTTAGGTTTGAATTGATATTAGTTCATGTTTTCGAAATTTTCTTGGACTTTTCGATATTCTAATAGGGCTTTTTTGGAAAAGTGATTAGGGTGTTAGTGTTAGGGTTTAGGAATGTTTTTTAGGGTTAAAGGTTTAATTATTAGTTGTAATGGAGAACGGATATTAGTGCAACAGTCGGATATTAGATAAAAAGAGTCGTTTTTTTATACCCAATGAAAAGAGTCGTTTGATAGATAAATCGCGATAAAACTAGTTGTTTCATTCGCGATAAAGGGAGAGATTTGGCAATTGGGGAAGAACGTTAAAAGGGGTAGGGTTTAGGGTTTTGTTTTTTGGTTTTTTAATTAGTGGGCCCGGCGGACACCGCAAGCCCGAGTGGGCTGAACGGATATTAGTTCGCGACGTTCGGATATTTGGGCTGGCTGGTTTGGATAGTTTTTTATTGAGACTGGATATTAGTCTGTCTTTTTTTGATATTTGTCTGTGTCGTTTGGATATTTGTCAGTGTTGTTTGGATATTTGTGGAGATACTGACACGGCCCAGTGGAGTTTTGTGGGTTTTTTAGCCCAGCTGAGATGAAAGATGGAGCTTATGGTGGCGGTTTGGTAGGGGTTTAGGTGGCAAGGGGGGAGAAATGGAAAGAAGGGGCCCAAGTGGGTCATTTATTTGGGGAAACAAAAATCAAAAATAGGAAATTCATACAAAGTGGAGGAATTTAATGCTCCCAACTACCCTACCCACCCAAACCCGAAAATTGCCTCTCTCTCTTCCATTTTTCTCTGTTTTTCTTCTCTTCCAAAGGAAGAAAGCCGCCGCCCAACTGTATTTTCCGGCGACCATCTTCTTTTCCGGCGACCATCTTTCCGGCTACCTTCTACGATGCTGATCGACGACAATGGGGAGTTGGATGATCAAGGATCTTCTCCAATGAAGAAGGGTAAATCGATCGCACAAAATAGTGAAGAAGAAGAACTCTATCCTACATCATATGAGTTTGTTGATGAAGATTCAAGTGGTGCTCCTGCCCTCAACGAAGAAGAAGAAGAAGATAAAGGTTGATTGAGTTCTTTATATGTTTGTGTTGTTGTGAGATTGGTTGGTTGCATTGAATATTTGATGTTGAGATTGTTGTGAGAATAGCATTGAATGATGTTGATGTTGTTATGGGTGTTTGATGTTGAAATTGTTGTGAGAATGACATATCTGTCTGGATCTTTCGAATATTTGTCTGTCTCTTTGAAGATATGTGTTTAACTAAGCATGGTATTTGTCTGGGCTTCATGGATATTTGTATATTTGCTTGCCGATATTTGTTTAATGAAACATGATATTTTTCTGGGCTGTAAGGATATTTGTATATCTGCTTGCCGATATTTGTTTAACGAAACATGATATTTGTCTGGGCTGTAACGAAACATGATATTTGGTGTGTGAACCACTATTTAATGCATTGTTTGATACTTGTCTGGTAGTTATAGATATTATTTATTTGAATTCTAGATATTTGTTGAAGCCTATGTATTCTAACAGTTTGTGGTCAAGAATGGATTATAACATGCCTCATACCATTAACTCGCAGCTCATAAGACGTTGGATCTAGAAGACGAGGAAGCGAGGAAGAACATCTTTTATCGCACTAAGGATGAGTGTTTTGATTTCTATAAGCGCTACGCTCACAAAAAAGGGTTTGGTGTTCGAATAGATGGGGAACACATAAGAAAGATCAAGAATTCTAAAGGAGTGGTGGAGAAAAATTATGCATACCTTTATTACTTTTGTAATAAGGAAGGCTGGACTTCCACAAGCAAAGTCAATATGGATAATCAGATACAGTCGGAAGACAAGGTTGAGGAGAGAATGGTTTGCAAAAGAAAGAGGCCTCGAGTTAGGGATGGATGTCCAGCCCGTGTTCGTTTTGGATGGGATGCTGCTAGGGAGGGATTTGTGGTGTACGAATTCGTAGAAGCCCACAGTCATGGTTTGCACTCTACCGAGCATATGCACTTGCACAAGTCGAACAAGTGCATGAGTGATGCTCAGAAAAAGATGGCTCAAGCTAATCGCGATGCCGGGATGAGTCTTAGTGCATCGTATCAGTTATTGGCTGATTGTGCTGGTGGGTATCAAAATCTGAGATTTACCAAATCCGATCAGAAGAATCACTTGAACACTAAAAGGCAAAGGACAATGGCTCGTGGTGAAGCGACTTATTTGCTGGACTACTTTGAGGACCAAAAGGACAAGCATCCTGGATTCTTTTATGCTGTAGAGGTGGATTCCGAAGAGAAAGTTGCTAATATATTTTGGGCGAACAGTAGGATGCGTGAAGATTATGCGCTTTTTGGAGATTCGGTCTCCTTTGATACCACCTTCCGAACCAATAAATACTTCCGTCCACTGGGTACGTTAATCCCCTAATTCCCTTGAGTTCTTTCGCATGGATGTTTTTAATTATATTGCAGAAATGGTTATGAATAGAATTGGTCCTTGGTGGTATGATATTGACATGTGATGCCCAGGATATTTGTTTGTAACAAGACGGGTATTGGTAACCTTTCATAGGATATTAGTCTGGGCTTTACTGATATTGATTCATTTGAGTTTTTTCGACACTTGTTCGGTTATGCATTGTCATTAATAGTTGTCTCGTGCAGGGATGTTTGTAGGTTTCAATCACCACCGCCAAACTTGTGTGTTTGGTGCTTGTTTGATGTATGACGAGACTACTCCATCGTTTGAATGGTTGTTTGTTGCATTTAGTCGATGCATGAAGAATAAGCTTCCAATCACTATATTTACTGATCAGGATGCAGCCATGGCAGCTGCCCTTAGAAATGAGTGGCCTACTGTGTTTCATGCCCTCTGTACTTGGCACATCCTCATGAATGCCAAGAAGCATCTTCGCAAGGACAAGGCATTTTGGAAGAAGTTCCAACATCATATTTCATTTATTTTCTATGACGTCGACAGCGAGGAAGAGTTCGACATGGCATGGAGCACCATGGTTTCTGATTGTTTCCCAAATAGCGACATTGCGGATGGCCATCAATGGTTGGAACGTTTGAAGAAATTTCGTCATCGATGGTGTTCTTTATGGTTGAGAGATCAATTCACAGCCGGGATGTTGACTACGCAAGCTAGTGAGTCGTGCAATGCACAAGTGCGACTTTTCTTGAAGCCGAGGCATGATTTGGACTTGTTTTTCATTCACTTTAGCAGGTACACACGGCCAATATGACTTTTCCCTTCTTTGATATTAGTCTGTTAGGGTTGGATATTTTTTTGGTCAGTTTGGATATTTCTCTGGTATGGTTAAATATTTGTTTATCTTTTCTGGGTATTAGTACGGGTCCGTGATGATATTAGTCTGGGCACTGAAGTCTTTTCTCTTGCTTCCTAATTGTAGTTTGTTGGCTGACAAAAGACGCAAGGAGACAGAGTCAGACTACAATGCAAAACAATCGATTCCTTATATAATGTTGGAGAATAGCCCGATCCTCCAACATGCGGCAAAAATCTTTACTCCTAAAATTTTCGAAAAGATACAGAAGCAGTATTTGGTGGCTGAATCCTATATAATAAAGAAGCTCTCAGATAATAGGGATGATGGCATGATTGGCTACCTCATATATATGATGGAGGATAGTGAGCGTAGTGATGAGCGTGTCGTCCTCGTAGATATTTCTACGACGACCTTGGTATGCGAATGCAGAATGTTCAGAACTTTAGGAGTGTTATGCCGCCACATGATTAAGGTGATGCGGCTTCTTGGAGATTTTGGGGAAGCAAGTATGAGAAGTATTCCGGATCATTACATACTCAAGCGATGGACGTTGGAGGCGAGAGAGAGAGAAGTTTTTGATGTCGATGGTTCTGTTGGTCCTTCAGCTCCCAGTGAGAATGATGCGGGAAAAGGTATAGCAATGCGGTACCGGGAAACCACTGCAATGTTGAATCAGCTAGCAATGAATATGTCGATGGCCGATGAGAAGGACTACAATAAGTGGATGGGAGTACTCAAGAAAGTGTGCAATGAGGCAAACAAGGCATTGTCAAAGACTATAACTAGCGAGGACAGTAAGTATATTCACTAATAACATTTGTAAATTGTTAGAGTTTAATATCATTGCATTTACTAAATTCTCTAACATTGTAGGACGATCTGTACCGATAACTGGGCTGACTTTGAAGGAGAAGAGTAATCCAAGGAGTCACGGTAAGGAACGTTACAAGTCTACGAATGAAAAGGAACGTCGTCGAAAGAAACGTGAATATAGGAAGAGAATGAAATCCATTGTAGTGGTCACGGCGGACGACACTGCTCACTCGGATGGTCATCTTAGTGATTTGGATGATAATATTGCTCAATGGTTATGAATAGAATGTAGGGTGGTTTGAGAGTGGTCTACTGTGATATAAAATTGACATGTGATTCCAGGATACGTTTTTGTTTTGCAGTGGATATTAATACACTTTCTTAGGATACTTGTCTGGGCAACCTCGATATGTGTTGTAGAATGTACTGATATTATTCTGGGCGTCCTGGATATCAGTATTTTCGAAGCGAGTACAATGATATTAGTCACTATTCAGAGATGTGTACATATATGTGTTGTATCAATGATATTAGTCACTATTCACATGCACAGATGTAGATTTACTATAAGTCTGGGCTCCAAAGATATTAGTCTACAAAAGAAGGATATCTGTCTGGATGATTCGGATATCGGTCTGGGTCTTTCGGATATTTGTCTGTCACTTTGGAGATATTTGTTTAACTAAACATGGTATTTGTCTGGTCAGTAAGGGTATTTGTCTATTTGCTTGCCGATATTTGTTTAAATAAACATGATATTTTTCTGGGCTGTAAGGATATTTGTCTGTCACTTTGGAGATATTTGTTTAACTAAACATGGTATTTGTCTGGTCAGTAAGGGTATTTGTCTATTTGCTTGCCGATATTTGTTTAAATAAACATGATATTTTTCTGGGCTGTAAGGATATTTTTCTGATAGTTGTTTAAATAAACATGCTAATTGTATCCAACATCTTGCAAAATATCCTCCATCCAAGCCTAAGTTCAGTTTTACAAACTAAAATCTAAAATCACCTTCTCGTCTTTCTCCCTTTCTCCTTCTCCTTCTTCGCATGCCATTTTATTGCACCTTCAACTATTTCATCTTTGCGGCGGTTATGCTCCCATAAAAGCAGGTTGGCTGCAATCCATGTTCGCTGTTCCTGCACATGTGGCTGCTTGTGCCAACTTGCTTTATATTCCACTGGAAGGTGACCCGCCCACAACTCCATGTAAAGGCATGCAAAGACACCGCAATCATGGTTTCCTTCTTGCTGAGGAACATCGGCAATGTTGAATGGCCACTCATCCATTGCACAATCGACCCCCTGATGTTTGAGGAACGCCGCTGCATACCCAAAAATAATGCTTCCAACTGGTCCATGATCCTCCTTAGCCACTCGGGCATTGGGCTTTTGGCTGTCAAGTACGAAAGTCCTCCTATTCTTCATGTCAGCCACGTACACCCGGTAGTGATCATTTCGATACATTGGAAAAAATATCTGTAACACAAAGCAGTTTGTGAGTTTATCATTGACTAATATCCTAATAACCCAAATTAATATCTCAGCTTCCAAACTAGCAGAGTCGCTTACGTAATCACATCTTTCCAAGTTTTCCCGTTTCAGCATTGGATTGTATTTGTGCAGATGAATCCATGCATCTAGTCTCGCCTTGTCCATGGGTTGGTTCGAATAAGCAGTATTGACGGCATATTGCTATTTAGAAGAGACAACAATATGAAATTAGATATTTTAAATATGAATAGTATCTAAGCAGTGAAGATAATACTTACTACATAACTCCATGGGAAGACAATTCTTTGCACCACCTCCTTGCCTGCTTCTTTGTAATTTATCAAATTCCCGTATACTACAAGTATTTGGGTATGCAACCAACTTCTACCCTTCAATGAATGTATCTGCTCACGGGAAAGGGTACCGGTTGGAGTATCCACTACAAATTTCTCACTGTAAAACAAAAATGAAAACCAGTTTAGAAATTTGGGTTGGGCAAATTGAAATTGGTGATTAAATAACTCCTCAATTATCAACTTACTTGGCTGGAGCAGGAGTACTGAATATGAAGTCAACCACTTGCATAGCTGTAACGTCGAGTTTCGTCGACATAGTCTTTGGCAGAACGTACATTGATTCGCCGAAGGGGTGGTGTTTTGACCTATCAAACTCTGGAGTTTTTAGAGTTGCTTTCCAAGCTTCCGGTGTGATAGAGTACAAATACTGTGCCTCCTCCGCACTCTTAATGCACTCAGAGATGATAATATCATCGTCGCTATCCTCCTGGGCAGCAGTAGTTGACTCGACAGGAAACTGCAAAACATGGCCAGTATCTACTCATATAGAAACAAATATCCAGCAAGCCCAAGCTAGTATCCATAACAAAAGAAACCAATATCATAAACGCCCAGGATAGTATCCACTCAATACGAAAACAATATCCTGGCAGCCCATGATATTATCCATACAAAAAGAAACTAATATCCAGCAATCCCATACTAATGTCTATTGGTAAGAGAGATATTACCGTAGTCGGAGATGTCTTGATACTATCTTCAGCGGTAGCAGTGGCTTGGAAACCAATCTGCATCACATTCGCGAATGTCGTATCCGGGTCTCTATCCTCCATCAGCTCACATGCTGCTGCTATAAGCTCATCCTCTGATGGTCCTGCTAATCCTTGAGTTAGAACCTCAGTCGGGACCATTGTGATACTCTCCTAGGCAGCAGTAGTTGACTCGACAGGTATCTGCAAAAGATTGCCAGTATCTACTCATCAAGAAACAAATATCCAAAAAACCCATACTAGAGGCTAATGGTAAGAGAAATATTACCGTAGTCGGAGATGTACCCATACTCTGCTCGATTGGCTCCCCCATCTCCTTAAGTGGATTAACAGTCGACTGCACGCCTGGCTCCCCCGACTGAACAACAGAGACCTCCACCTCAGACTCGAAACAAACAGAATTTGGCTCCCAAACCAGCTCAGTCCTAACAACTGACTCTGACTCCACCTCCATCTCAGTAGCGACAACTGACTCTGACTCCACCTCCATCTAAGTAGTGGACTTAACAACAGGCATGTCGACCTCAGGCTCGACAACTCCATCTGGCTCCCGAACCAGCTCAGTAGCGACAACTGACTCTACCTCCACCTCCATCTCAGTAACGGCAACTGACTCTGGCTCCACCTCCATCTCAGTAGTGGACTTATCAACAGGCATGTCGACCTCAGGCTCGACAATAGACAAGACTGTCTTCTCAAGTATTCTCCGAAAGTCGAAGCGGCTGCACATGTTCTTGCCTTTCCCGTCTCCATCCTTTTTCATCCTCGCTTTGGTCATAGAGACCAAAGTCGAAGAAGATTTCGCCACTTTGCCCCTTTTCCTTCTTTGTTTTGGTCGCTGGAAAAACACGTACAAGCACACTAAATTATTATCCAAACTGCCAGAGTAATATCCAATCACGAGGGAGCTGTTATCCAGACCGCACAGAACAATATCCAAACATAATTTGAATCAATTACCCTGACAACACAGAGTAATATCCAAACATACAGCACATGTTCGATGCAATCATGAAAAGAAATAATATCCAGAACCAACAATTTGTTCAAGCCATTCCAACATGGCAAAGATAAAATCCCAACAATAAACAGAAATCTGAATGTTCAAGCCATTCCAACATGGCAAAGATAAAATCCCAACAAGAAACAGAAATCTTAATGTTCAAGCCATTCCAACATGGCAAAGATCAAATCCCAACAAGCACATTACATCCAATTAAAGAGAGAAAATTTGCCAAGATCATTTGGTTCCTTGATGGCGCAAAATGACAATTCTCCAAACACTATCCCGCCTTGACTCCCATACATCCATCATTTTTTCAGTCATGGACTCCAATGCCTTAAGCTACACATATATTGAAAACAAATTTAGTTGACTACAAACACCCATGGCCACTAACCCATTATTTTGAGTTGCAGAGAGAATATATACATACCTCATCATCATCAAGGGTTTCCAAATCAACATCCTTCCACCATTCAGTAGTAGAAGCCGAGCTGCTTGATCCAAATTCCAAATCCCTCCTGACACGTTCAGGACGGAAGCGGGATTTGACTTCTTCTCTTGAGAACAACATCGGACCAAGAAGATACTTCTCAGCTTCCTTGGGGATATTACAGCACACCTTGTCCACCCTAGGCTCGAACCAATAGCTGCAGGTAGGGATGGTTTTTGTGGCAAACCCTCTCACATTAAGGAAAAACAAATATCACAAAATGAAACAACTATTATCCCATGCATAGTTATTAATATCACTAGCAAACAAAACAGATATCACGAATGAAAAGAACTAATACCCTAAGCAGCGATACTAATATCAAAGGCAAAGAAATCAAATATCAGAAATAGAAAAAACTAATATCCTAAGCCGCGAAACTAACATCAAAGGCACAAAAACTAATATCCTAAGCAAATCAAATAAACAATATCAACAATGTTAAAGGAGAAGTTACCATTAAGAAGTGGATATCTCCGAGAGGCCATTGCTATTTACCAAGATGCCTTAGTTCAGCTTCGTTCTCCTTAGCACGAGACAACTCAAACTTCAGATTGCGGGCAACAAAACCACTCCAATTAAAAGTGGCAATGTCTTCCACCCTTCCAACAAGATACTCGGCATAATCGAGATCACAAAGTCGTGACATCTTTGGGATAAGCATCGAACCTAGAGCCAGCAACAAAAACTGCTTCACTGCGGCTGCAACAGGTGGTCTCCTTTTCGGTGCGTCATCGGGACCACCACAGGCTGCCTCTTTAAGATCCAAGACTTCGACATTTCGACTTCGATTACACTCGATATTGAGCTCCTCCAAGAACATATCAAGCATCTTGTCGTTCGACCTAACGACATCAATCTCAGCTCCACCAATAGGAAGGCCGTAAACACGGGCAACATCCTCAGCTTCGATTGTCAGCACCTTCTTGTTCTCCCCTTCACCGAAAATGAATGAACTGGTGACCAAGTCGTACTGTGCCATCAAGGTATCGAACAACTTCTTTGGAAAATTTGCCAATCGAAGCTCCAATAACCCTCCAAATCCAGCCTTCTCCAACTCTTTCTTACATGCTTCATAGTACCTTGGCTCTTCCTTCCAGTAATTAATAACATCTAGGAGAGATTTGGTATGGCACCGAAATCTGTACCACGGCTTGCCTTGTCCTAGAATATCCAATTTTGGTGCAGCTCCTTGTCCAGCATCTTCTTCCTCATCCTCCTCTCGCAATGGCGGTGGATTCCTTCGCGCTCTCTTCGCGATCCTTTTATTTCTTGCCATTGATAAATCCATGCACAAACAAATATACAGATATATCAAACAAATATCTAGATTGGTCAAACAAATATCCAGATAAATCAAACAAATATCCAGATATCTCAAACAAATATTCAAATAAATCAAACAACTATCCAGGCAAGTTACAACTGATATCATGCTTGCCAAAACCAATATCCAGATATATAAAAGGAATATCCAGATATGTCAAACAAATATTCAGATAAATCAAACAAACATCCAGGCAAGTTACAACTGATATCATGCTTGCCAAAACCAATATCCAGATATATCAAAGAAACAATACAAGCAAAATAAACAATATAATGTCTGTAATCTGTACCTCAGCTTTTTCCGACCTCGAGCTGCTCCTTGTGCAGTTGTTTCTGCTTCGAGTTCAGCATCTTGCTGTGATGCAGTTGTTTCTGCTTCGACCTCAGTATCTTCTTGTGCAGTTGTTTCTGCTTCGTCTTCAGCATCATCTTTTTCCTCATCTTCCTCTCGCTGTCGCGGTGGTGGTGGTGGATGGGGTGAAGTCATTGGAGCTCTCTTCCCTGATGTTTTAGTCTTTGCCATTGATAAATCACCTGCAAAGACAAATACCCAGATCCTATAAAACAACTATCCAGGAATGTAACAACTCATATCATGCTCGAACAGAACTAACATCGACACAAACATGACTAATATCGACACAAACAGATCTAATATCGACACAACCCTAACTAACATCGACACAAACAGAAAGCCATTCCACAAAACCCAGAAATAAAATCAACAAAAGAACGAATCATGCAACCCTAACTCATATCTGTCCAAACCAAACCTAATATCCACGAAACATTCCACAAAACCCGAGTCACCTGCAAACCGTCGCCGCCGAGATGCCGCCGCCGAGTTTGCTGCAGAGTCGTCGCCGCCGAGTTTGCTGCAGAGTAGTCGCCGCCGAGATCTCCTCCTTCGTGCAAGGTCGCCGGCGTCGAGACTCCGACTTCGCTGCTTCGCCGCCGCCGCCGAGATCTCCGCCTTCGCTGCAAGACGTCGCCGCCGATATCTCCGATTCGCAGCAAGGTCGCGCCGCCGAGATATCCTCCTTCGCTGCAAGGTCGCCGCCGCCGCCTAGATCGTCGTCTCCGCCGCCTAGATCGTCGCCGCCGCCGCCTAGATTTGCTGCCGCCGAGTTCCAATCACCGCGCGTCGTCTGCGTTCGGGGAGAGGAAGAAAGGCAGAGGAAAGGGAGAGAGAAACGGGGGGAGAGAGAGGGGGGAAACTGATTTGGGGAAAGTGATTTGGGTTAGGGTTTAGGATTTTTTTTTTGGGTTTTTGAATTAGTGGGCCCCGCCAGCTGCAGTGGGCTTGGCCCAGCCGATGGAATCGGCTCTCATCTTTCACACGGGCCAGTGCGTTTTCTCCTCCACCGATGGATGGCGGCTTGGCGACGTGGAGGCCCATCCAGCCATGTCAGTATCTCCTAACAAAATACCCTGTTAGGAGCATAACTAGATTGCTCAGTGGCGTCCACAACAATATCTCCCAACAGATGGTCGCGCCGGAAAAGGAATCCTCTCGACTGCGGAGTGTCTCACAGATTCACTAGGACTCAGTGGAGAATGTAGTCTCCCGAATCGATCCGAGATACAAGAGGAGGGGGAGAGAATCACAGAAGCCTCACCTTAGATTGAGAATCGAAGCTCCAGACTTGAGATTGGAAAATCGTGATTCAAGAGCCCAAGATAGATATTAGAGGAGGACATGAGCAAAATATGGGAAATGAATGAAGATTAAGGAGAAAATCAGAGCTTTGAGGCGGCTATGGCCTATGGCGGAAGTTTCGGCACCAATATAGGTTAACAAGGGTTTCGCTCTTTCTCTAAAGACATGAGAGAGCGGGAATCAGAATCGAGTTTCGTTCTTTTTTTAGACAGAGCAAGAGTGACCCGGTTTTTCTCTAGTATCTCGCGTGAATTTTTTTGAAAAGGAGGCGGGGTTTATTCGCTGGTGAATTATTTTGTAGCAAGGTTGTCAACCCGCGGGTCGATCTGCAGGTTGACCCACTTTTGATCATGACCTGGTGAGAAAAACGGGTCGCACGCACTCGCCGGGTAGACCGTTACAAGGTACCAGGTTGGAGATCAAATTGTGTCATTTTTTTCTTTGTTTTGCGAAATGCGCCTATTTTCCGATTTTTCTTTTCCCCTGACTTAATCTTTGGAATCCTAAGTTGAACATTTGAATATTAATGTTATATAAGTGTGTGTGAATTTTCACTATATGTTGAATCTAAGTACGAAATGTTATTTTGGTGTAATATTATATGTTATAAGTCATATGTTAGATGAGATTTGATATAATTTATCAGGATAAGTACAATATAATGACGCTTTCCATATTTCCGGGCTAAACCGGGTGACCCATTAACTCTTGACCCACTAGCCCAACCGGGTCCGGGTCAACCCGCAGGGTTGACAACCTTGTTTGGAGCCAATTGAAAATTTTGGGGCCAATGCAAAATTTTGAGCATGAAATTTTGGAGCCCCAATATAATATGGCGGGAGGCAAAAACGTTTTGGAGGGAATGCTGAAGGTTACCATTTAATATTCATAAATTATAAGTTTTAGATTACCAATTTTTAATCTATACAAATTAACATTTGTTAAGGGGTCCAATCAATTTGCTTGATAACTTTTTTAAAGATAATTGTCACATTAATTATGGTAATTAATCGTGATTAACAAGTAGTCACGTGAAATGAAAAGTGAAAATGACTAATTAATTCCTGTGATTAGAACTATGCAATCCAACACAGTAATTTTTCAGTGACTATTAGTATATTTCTTAGTATGGGAAACATTACCGTGAATAAAATACCGTGAATAAAAATCAGTTTTCCTGTAATGCTTTGACTCTCAAGCCAATCCAGTTTCTAATTCACTTGATGTAGGCGGGCTGCATTCCTAGTAGTTGGCAGAATTGGATAGCTCTGGATTCTGAAAGAGAAAATAGTTATCAGAGTTATTATGGGTTCACAGACCTTGAGATTGTGATTTTGTTGACAGGGTTGTCATTTAAGCGCAATGCGTGCATATCAGGGATGAGATAGATTTCGTTGATAACCAATCGCACCTCTAGCAAGATCTGACCACTCAATCTGTCGTACTAGTATACTATTTGCAACTGCAAATGTTGAAAGATAATTTTTCGGCTTTGTGCTAATAAAGAAAAAACTTCGGAATCGATAGGTCATCATTTTATTAAGGATTTATAGCGGGATATATTGAAAGAGATATGTTGAGCACTATACATAGTGTATTTCTCCAAAAAAGTGTGTTTTATCTATAAAAAAAATTGAAAAATATGCTGTAGTGTTTTTTTTTTGTCTACGAATATGTTGTAGTATTTTGTTATAACATGTACTAATTTGATATTTTCTAATTAACAAAAATAATACTTTCATTTAATTTCAATTTTGTATTATTTTAGTCGAGTTCAACAACTCACTTCATGTAGGAAAGCTCCATTCATATTAGTTGGCAAAATGGGTAACTTTGAATTCTGAAAGAGAAATTATTGTCAGGAAGCATTTTTCTTTCTCTTACTTTTGCCATAAAACTGTTTATCTATCTATACATAATATTATAACAATTCAAAAGTAGTTTGTTGCCACATAAGCATTTGGAGAATTTACAAGGTGCCATTGTGGACACTTTTTTTACAAACAAAAAAGTTAGTTAATGATCAATTATGTAGCTATATCTATCTTTTTTTTTAATATTTTATTTTTATTTTAACGATCATTTATGTAGCTATCTCTATCTTCTTTTAATATTTTCTTTTTTATTCAATAATTATATTTTTCAATATATATGTGAAGCAACAATATACTTATATTTGGAGAGTTACATATATTGTAATGCTTCAAAAAATATATTTGATTAAATCTGATCAATTAAATTTTTTTATTTTTATTAGAACTTAACATATGTTATATTTCGATAAAAAATAAATTAAACACACATATAAGTAATAAAATTTTTTAAAAACAAAATATAATGAAGGCAGTTTAGATAATCAACATTTAAGAATCAATAAAACAAAATATAATGAAGGAATTTTAGATAATCAACATTTAAGAATCAATAAAACAAAATATAATGAAGGAATTTTAGATAATCAACATTTAATAATCAATTGAATTTGAAAAACCAACTATATAATTCTATGTTTTGGTTATCAAACACTATCTTTTTCTAATGTTTGTATCTATCAATGAAAACAAGTATTAAATTGCAAAATGCTTCAAAAGTTGTTTTTTCATTTTGATAGAAACTTAACGAAGCCATAATATAGTACCTGATTGTACAAATGAAGACGATAAAGAAAGACAACTTTTCTTATCTCTTATAATGCATGCTTCCATACCTTATTTTCTCTTACATTTGTTCATACTTCCCCTTATTTTTCTTAACAGATTACATATTTCGGCAAATAAAGGTGTTAATTACACTTAAAATACATTAAACTCTTTATATTTATATATGTATATTATGACATACATTGAGTAAGAAAATGATATCTAGATCTTGAATTGACTGGAGTTGCATATGGTATTATTCTCAAACCCTTAAAGATTAAAATCTAATTTATAAATCTCATACCTAAGATCAATTTAATTATAAACAAAAATCAATGGGCATGATTCGTTAAAATCTATGCAACAAATTACATGCACAATCTTAGGGGTTAAGCTCAATGATTTAGATAACTAAGACCTAGGGTTCACTCATCAAGGGTTAGGGTATAGTATCATGCCCACAAATCCGGTTAATTCGTGATCCAAATATCGTTTTCTTACTTAGAGTATAAGATCATGCTTAGATATTGACAATAGATGTGGCATTACACCAACAAAATGACGATATTAATATAAATAATGGAATTTTTATCTCAAAACAAACACCAAAGATAAATAAATTTTAGCAAATGCATATTTGATAAGTTAGACAACAATGGATCATGTTAAGATTAGAACCCTCGACAGTGTGTGAGTATCTTGGATCGAGATTATAAACCAACATATAAACAACGACCATGAGTTGAGGGTGAGTCTATATTAAACTTCAGGAATTAACAATTCGTACATATTGTATAAGATATTAAATTGAGTGTCTTGATAGACAAATATGATCTTACACCAAGACAGTAAACTTTCAATTGGGATGACCAAATTTATGTAATATTGAAGTACATTTATAAAAAAAATTCTAACTAAGTTGTCATCATATGAGCAACATCATTGGTTGAGAGTTCGCCCAAACTCGAGATTCATTGAATGACATATATTGTATAAGACAAAAAAAATTAAGTATCGTTATTGACAAATCTTGACATAAGATTCTATATGGGACGTGATATATATTTGTGACATGATTTATGATCAGTGAATCGAAGCATAATAAGTGAATGTGCTAAGTATTGAGAATTTTTAATTTATAGAAGCACCGCATACTCAACAATGAATGCAAATGTAAAAAATTTAGAAGATTCAAAATAGTTTAAACATATAGATAAATTGATTAATGTAAATGATAAAATTAAACTGACCGGCCAACAGGCCGGCTAAAAAGCTAGTATGTTTTAGAAGAAAGTACAACACGGGTATGCTGCCTTAAAGTCTGGCCAGCTTTCTTGCTCAACCCAACTCAATTTCTTGACGTTAAATCTTAAACTATCAGTTCCTCCGGTGGATTTTCAGCATCGCTCCTACAGTTGTAAATCTTAAACTATTAGTTCAATCGGTTAATATAACAATCAGATACTGATGCTGCCAGCCTTCTGCTCGAAGTATGTGATTCTGAATTGTTTTCTCAGTACCAACTGTTACATCCAGCCAAAGAAAAGGCTATCTAACTTGACCACCATTTTATCCGCAACCTTGGCCCTTAATCAAAATCATGCTGTAATTTGGACCCACCAAATGAAAATGGAGGACTATAAAATCACCACAAGTCCGAGTTGTATGTCATCAAACACCTTCCTCAGCAGCTCCTCTGAAATACTCTAAATCCACCAGATAACAACAATGGCTTCCGTATCTGGAAACAAGCTTATGTTGATGGTCGTGTTGCTGATGGGGATCTATGCATACGGGGCATTCTCGGCAAGACCCTCGGTGCATCCTGTTAGCAGCATGAACGAAAGGTTTGAAGCATGGATTGCTCAGTACGGGCGAGTTTATGCAGATGCAGGAGAAAAGGCTAGGCGCTTCAGCATCTTCAGAAAGAATGTGGCCTTCATCAATCACTTCAACAAGCTTGGAAACAAGACTTACAAGCTGGCCACTAATCAGTACGCTGACCTAACCAATAAGGAGTTCAGGGCGGCTAAAACTGGATATAAGAAACCTGCCAATCTCATCAACCCTGCCACATCATCATTCCGATACGAAAATGTTACTTCAGCGCCAGACACCATGGATTGGAGAACCAAAGGAGCTGTGAACCCAATTAAGGATCAGGGCCAATGCGGTAAGCTTAATTACTACAAAAAGTCCTAACCTTTTCCTTCTTCTTGCAATCTATGTCACACTTAATTTTACGACTTTTGCCCCAAAAAAATTGCAGGGAGCTGTTGGGCATTCTCCGCCGTGGCAGCAGTGGAAGGGATCACAAAGATCTCGACGGGGAAGCTGATCTCTCTCTCGGAGCAAGAACTGGTGGATTGTGACAGGACAACTAATGACCAAGGCTGCAATGGAGGCCTCATGGATGATGCTTTTAAATTTGTCAAGACTAAGGGCCTCACCACTGAAACAAAGTACCCTTACTCAGCGGCAGATGGAACCTGCAGCGCAGCCAAGACTGCTACTCCTGCGGTCAAGATCAGCGGATACGAAGATGTGCCTGTGAATAACGAGGGGGCATTGTTGAAGGCCGCAGCAAACCAACCTATCGCAGTGGCGATTGATGCTAGTGGCTCTGCGTTCCAGTTCTACTCAAGTGGGGTGTTCACTGGAGACTGTGGAACCGATTTGGACCACGGCGTGGCTGTTGTAGGGTATGGTACGAGTGAAGATGGTACAAAGTACTGGCTGGTAAGGAATTCATGGGGGACTAGCTGGGGAGACCAAGGTTACATCAAAATGCAGCGTGACGTTAGTGCCAAAGAAGGACTCTGTGGCATTGCGATGTCAGCTTCCTATCCTACTGCATAGAGCATAGGAAAAACTAGCTAAAGAATCTTCATTATTATGGAAATAAGAAATATATATGTGTTGTTACTTACTTTCCTATTAATTTCAGTTGAAAGATTTGTATCACTGTGAATTATGTTCTATATGCTATTGTTGCAATGTTGTATCATGGAGTTTCTAACTTTCAAACAAGAACTTGCTATCATTGACCGTTCCAAGTTGGGGTGAACTGTAGGGTGGGATTGTGTTCGGTTTTGGTTAACCACAACCAAAATGATGACTAACCGGAACTGAAAGATAATAATTTCGAAAATCCGGACCAAGAATAAATAAAATACTATTAATTGCAGCCAAAACCAAAAATTCAGTATAGATGGTTTAAAAATTAGTAAATTGGAAGGAAATGAGGGATGTTTTTTTCCTTGCCGATCTCTTATATCGATGGCAATAATTTCACAAACACTCATATCATAATATAATCAAAATATTTTTTTTCAAATATATCTCCATGAAGACTAATATAAGGATTACGTTTTAATAAGGAGTAATAAAATTAAAAAATTATCCCCGATAACACCAAAATGTTGTTATTTAGCTTTCATATTTATGGTCATTTCGAGTTATTTCATCGTCTTAATTGTCGATATATCATCATTTACATCCCTATTTCTTTCCAGGAAGAGAATATTGCCATATTATGGTGCTGGAAGAAGAGGACAATCCAAGTCCAGTTAGTGACCCTGAGGTTGAAGAAGAGGAAGGCGAAGTTAGTGCAAACAGCTTCGATCCGCTGGAAGGTGCTGATGATTCCGGTCCAGATTCAGACGCAGATGGTGATGAGGTACCTCGCAACCGTGTACCTATTCCATACTACAATCACATTCAAAATGAAGATTGGTATGTTGATGCCGACATGGACCCGCCAGAGGTGCCAGTATGGGGTCCACTCACTGGCTTTACGAAGGGCCAACAATTTGCAACGAAGAATGAGGTTCGGTACGCTATTTGCACTGAAGCAATGACTCGGAGTTTTGAATGGCAAACAACCCATTCCGACACAAAGAGGCTGATGGTTCGATGCAAAAATGAAAATGAGGGATGCAAAGCTAGGGTCCGGGCCATCAAGAGCAAGAGAGTCGGCCATTGGGTCATATCCCGTGCGGTGAACACACACACATGTGTGTCATCAATAACATCCCAAGGCCATCAACAGTTAAAATCAAGGGTGGTTGCCGCGGCTATCAAACATCTAATTGAGGAGCAGCCCGACCTGAAGGCGAAAACCATCATCGCCCACATTTCTAGTCGTTATTGTTATATCATTAACTACAAGAAAGCGTGGCATGGGAAACAGAAAGCAATGACTGCCGTGTTTGGTGACTTGGAAGAATCATATGCATTCCTTCCCAAATTGATTTTGGCGTTGGAGGTGTCTAACCCTGGCACCATTTTCTCACCTCTCTACCAAGATGAAGAAATTCAACCACCGGTACCGGGTAACAAGCGCAAATTCAAGCGTCTTTTCTGGGCATTCAAGCCATGTATTGATGATTTTCCATACTATGTTCCTGTGATTCAAGTTGATGGAACATTCCTTACCGGCAAGTACAAGGTACTCTACTGATCGCAAGCGGAGCAGATGCAAATAGATTAGTATATCCATTAGCCTTTGCCATTGTGGAAGGAGAGAATACCGATAGCTATGGATGATTCTTCAGACAAATTCAGCTCCATGTCACCAGGAGGACGAACATGACTATCATCTTAGATCGCCACGCCGGTATATGGGCTGCTATCTTAGGCTTGGATCCAGCCTGGAACTGGTCACAGAGATGGTGCATACGGCATTTCAAGAGCAACTGGAACCATCATTTCAAGCGAAAGAAGCTTGCTGACAGTCTATGGTGGATCGGTAAGCGTTCTAATTAATTGTTATATAAATTTTGTCAACTGTATAAAATGAGGACTAAATCAATACAATACAATACAATACAACACAACACTTATTTAGACTCTTTATAAAGAAATGCATGTCTAAGGAAATGGGGACTTAAGCGATCATCGTGATCCCCCCATGACCTGGGAAAATCGGGTTCTAAACGATCCTCGGATCCCCCCTTTGTCTGTCAAAAAGATTGTGTTTCTAAGGAGATGTATACCTCTCCTAAGAGTCTGTGTACTTGTATTGGCAATAAGGTCGATCTTGCTTACCTTAGGTTTTTTTTATATTTATCAGCTGTCGTGTACCAAGAGAAGAAATTTAAAGAGAAGATGCAGAATATCCGTCAGATATGCCCTGAAGGTGCGCAGTGGCTTGATCAACATGATCTTGAAATGTGGATGTTCATAAGGACGGAGGTACCAGATGGGGTATTGCCACAACAAACTCAAGCGAGAGTATCAACAACGTCTACAGGGAATGTCGTGCACTCCACATCTCTGCAATTGTTGATATGACATTCTGGAAAACAAACGGATGGTTAGTCAACCGTCTCCACTGGTGTGAGAAGAGGGAGGCACAGGGTAAGGTACACTCCGATTATGCCACAAAAATAATGGAAAAAGATAATCGGAAGAGCTCTCGTCACACAGTCACTGTGATGAACCGAAATGCTGGCGAGTATTCGGTCGAGACTGGGCACTGGGAGGATGGGAGACGTGGGGGTCATCGCCATGAAGTCACCGTCAACTTTAGGACTAAAAAGGGGGAGTGCTCTTGTCAGAATTATCAGGGTAGAGGGATACCATGTTCCCATGCAATGGCTGTAATAAAGCACAGGAGCAAAGACCCTCATCATTTCATCAGTCCGTTCTTTAACATTGACTCACAAAAGAGCAGTTATCGTACTAGTTTCCGTGCATTGCCGGATGAAGCTTACTGGCCAGTTTATGAGGGTATGGTCATCATTCCACCAATCGATCTTAGGCGGGAAATAGGGCGCCCGCGGGTAAAAAGAATTCCAAATGAGATGGATCAAAGTGGAAGACCACCGCGAGGGCCAAGGTGGTGTTCCATATTCAAAGTACCCGGTCATGATAAACGAAAATGTCCTGGACTAATTGGTCCTCAAAATCCAGGGCCCGATGTGGTAAACCCGGATAATGGCGCTTAGATTGATTTCATGCGTTTGTTCCATCTTTGTGTATTAATTTCAATGGTTATTCTACTTGTATTTTGTGTGCTTACATGACATTGGAGATTTGCACAATTAACAAACTTTGATGCAATTTTCCATCTTTTTGAATAAAACACATCACGAACACAAACACACTACATGAAAAACTAAAAAATAACTTCAACTAAAAACAAAATTTTCAACTTAATTTAAACAAAACATAACTTGAAATAAACACAACTTGTCACACTCATGCATTATTTCGACGATTTGCCCTCTGTTTCCTTATGCGATGGGCGACTGGTCCATCGGGTGTTGTTGATGGTGGAACGGGTGGCAGATTCCTATTCGCCGTAGAAGGGCGATCCTCCGTGCTATGCCGCCTCGGTTCCGTGGTAGGTGGCCCCTCCGTCTGCGCTGGAGGGCTATCCACGCTCATACGGTGGGGAGTGGACTACCATTGTTGTTGCCATTGTTGTTGTGGTCGATTCAAAGGTGAGAAGTCTTGGTGGGGAGTGGACTGCCATTGTTGTTGTCATTGTTGTTGTGGTCGATGCAATGGTGAGAAGTCTTGGTGGGGACTTGAGTATGAACCATCGGCCCAAGTAGCTGAGGATGTGGCGTCATGAAATGTACTTGACCGTTGTTCATATTGGAAATTGGGCCGGAGATTGTATTGCAAACTCGACCACAGATCATACTGGCTTTCGGGGGTGGGATCGTAGTGAAAACTCGACCGGGGATCATACTGAGTACTCCCCCCTTCATCGCTGCACACCTCCAAAGGAGTAGGCACCTTCCACGCCGCAATCGACTTGATCTCCGGCACGTGAGGTCGATCCCTTGTAGCTTTGTTTGGCCTTCTATGGACCGGCGGAGGCACAGGATCAACATCCTCCATCACCGGCAGCGGTCTCACTGGGGGAACTGGAGGGTATCTATGATGGTCACGTCTGCGCGCTCGCATACAGCCAAGGAGACTGTTCGCAATCCTTCGAATGAGCCCCACCTCTCGACCCGCAGCCGAATGATCTTCCGTCCGCGCGAGGTCGTGTATTCGCTCGATGCCATCAACCTAAATCGAAGAAAATAACAATGTGAGCCATTTAAAAAATAATGCACCGCATGACTAAATAAATAAAAACTGAATTACTTACCAAAGCTCCGTCCGCCGCACCTTCGGGGGTCATGTAACGAACAGATTGTCTTCGGTAGGTTTCCAGGTATGGGTCATGGTAGCCCATCCGCCCCACATGAGATCCCGTCACAATATCCTGATCTTGCCTAACATTCCACAGGCAGATCAATTTTTCATACTCCTCCGGCCAATTAGTAGCTCCGTGTCGACCATCTTTCCCGTGGTACCCCATCTGACTCTCCGGGACATCCAATGGTAGGTATTGCTCACGTCCAAATTTTCACAGACATCGATCCGGCAAGTGCCACTCCACTATATGGTGGCAGATTAGTGGAACTCGGGTGCACCATTGACCGGGATGTAACGGGAACTTGTGGACGTGATGCGCAACAATGCGTTCTGGATACTGATCGAACTTAAGCTACGAAGGTGAATAAAAAATAGACCATTAATCAACATAATAATATAAGTTAAAAAAAAGTAGGAATTAATAGCGTATTATGATGCTCACCTCTGCTTCCCAAAGGCGATCAAGCCTCCTACGATACTCCTCCAACTTATGCGCTCCTAGGTTGTCGCATGTTTTTTCACCAAGCCACCTATTCAATCCAAAAAGTATGGAGTGTTAATACATAATACCAAGTTCGTTATAAAATACCCAATTAGTAAAAAAAGGTGAGAACTATGAGTGGGATAGAAAACATTTACCTACAACCATAAGCTTCATGTCGTAGGGGATGGTCGGGACCCCATTCCTTGCCGGGGTCAGCCTTCGGCTCAATCCATGGCAAATGCTCCCAAGCCCAAATTTGGACGATGAACATGGCCCCATCAATCTCCTTCACCGCTCTCGCACTAGCATTATAGAGGGATCGGTAGAGATGAGCTAGGCAAGCAGATGCCCAACTCAGGTTTCCCATATCATCCCGACTCCCAAGTATGATCTTTAACCATGAATTGCTGATTAGGTTGTTGGATTTCTTGGGGAAGAAAACTCCTCCGATCATGCCGAGGATGTAGATACGTGCATAAATGTCTTTATCACGCTCCGAACTTTCCTCCGTGAAGGGAATGCCTCCGAACTCAGGGTTGTG